TGTCTTAATTGCCAGAGTAGCTTAATTTTGGCAAGTCTTTATTTTTAACCAAAGGTGATGGCCATACAGTGCTTCATTATGGATGAACAACTTAAATGCCTCACTTAATGTCTACTTACACAAGGATGGGTTGCTCAGGGGAATAGAAGGAGTTTTACGAAGCTGATAATTTTCAATGCTTCCGAGCAGCAGTGAACAGTGCACAATAATGTAAGAACAGCAATGAATGTTTTCAGCTCCTGACTCATAGCATCTCCTCGGGTCAGAAAAGGATTCACATGTGTATTAATGAAATAAAATGAATGTGTAGCTTCATCTGTATCCAAAGTGAATTGTCAAATTTAATTAAGAATGTGCATAGTTGGGAAAAGAGTCATCCAAAAATGCTGTGCTTTGGCATCATTACAATAATTAAAAGTGTAGTGACTGGCAAGATGCTGATTGTAAAAGTGACTTCTGAGAATACCATGTTTACTTTGTTTCTATTGTTTTCCTTTTCAAATTGTTATAAGCTTCCAGAATTTTCCATATGTCTTATAATGCTTGAAGGGAAGACCTGGTTTTCTTCTTCCCAGTTTAGCTGAAATTGTTCTCCAATTGATTTAATGAGTTAAGAAAATCTGAATTGATGCAGAATATGCTCATGGAATATTGCTCTCAGACATTCTCTGTGAATGTCTAATCAATGGAAAACCTCATACGCTAATGATAATTGTTACTACAATTGTGTCTAGAGACCTGATTGACTTTTATGTCAGGCATTTGCTTCTGTTTTTAGGTATTGTTCAAGAAGGTGTTAGTCAAAATGACTCATTTGGATATCAGGCCTAAACAGTGTGCATTTTAATTGTATTTTATAGAAATATGTTTTAATATGTCTCTTTTATAGAAAGACATTTGATATGTGTATTTAAAGAATTTTAAAATGTTTATGTGTTTTCACTATGCTGTATGATGATAATGATGATAGCATTCAGTGCCATCCGTTTGCTTTGCCTAGCTTGCTATATGTTGCTATATGTTCTTTGTTTTCACAACTTTCTAGTACTGTTGACATTTAACTCCACCATGGAAATTTCTTATCTATTATATAAAAGTGGAGTAATGAAACAAATTACTGGTGCTTCCCTACTGCCTTCCCATGTCTTCTGAAATACAGAAGAGGATTTGAGAATTTCAAAGAGTAATTCATTCCCGCAATTATTTTGTGCTCATGAATTAGCATAAGATGAATCCCCGAGTACTACAACAATGTCAGGTATTTATTTATTTATTTATTTATCACCTTTCTCACCCTGGAGGACTCATGGCGGCTTTGCATATAGGCAATGATTTGATGCCTTAAAACACAATATACACTTCCTTTCTTTCGCTCCTGCCAGCTTCCCAAGCTCACCTGGTAAGCACAAGGAAGAGAGCTTTCTCTTCTGTGGCCCCCCGACTTTGGAACTCCCTACCAGGAGAAATTAGGAAAGCCTCTACCCTAGTAGAAACCTTTAAAAAGGACCTTAAAACTTGGCTCTTCCGCTGCTCCTTTAGAGAGTAGGTATACAATCCCACACTACTGCTTAGCCTCAATGTTCTGTCATTGGAGTATATGTTGTCCCCCCTCTGTGGGAAAGCTTGATTCCACAACCCCCGCTATAATGAGTTCTCCTCCGCAAATAATCTGTCTCTTTTTATCTCACCCGAGTTTTAAATTAGTTTTAATTAGTCTCTCTTTTAATCATTACATGTAGCCTGCCCACTGTCATTGTGATTGCATCTATTTTAACTTTATATTGTTATGTATTTACATGTTTTAATTTATTACGATGTTGCTTTTACTGTTTGCATTTTGGTTGTGTTTTTGGTTTTATTTTTATTGTAATTTATTGTTTGGGCTTCACCTCATGTAAGCCGCTCCGAGTCCCCATTGGGGAGATGGTGGCGGGGTATAAATAAAGATTATTATTATTATTATTATTATTATTATTATTATTATTATTATTATTATTCACTTAAATAAACATTAAAGTTTTTAAGTACATTAAAAACAATTAGAACATTTGTTTTTAGATAAGAAAACAAATCTATTGTAATGGTTTGAGCGTTGGGACTTTTACTCTGGAGATGAAAGTTTGAAAATTCTGCTTATCCATAAAAACTCATTAGGTGACCTTTCACAAATTATACTGCCTCAACCCCAGAGGGAGGCAAATCCCCTCAGAACAAATTTTTTCCAAGAAAGCTACATGATAAGTTAACCTTAGGGGCTCTGTAAGTCAGAAATGGCTTTAAGACAAACAACAACAACAGTTATTGCTAAAATATTTTCATAGAAGAAAATCGGGCACTGTAGATTAGAGGCAGTTACACGAACAGTGCATAGAATTATATCCAAACATACTCAGAAAGGAGCTGTTTGGAACACAAGAGAGGAAAACTGAAAAGACGATTCCAAATACTTATTTGAGAATAAAATTCTCTCTGTGCTTGTAAACATTAGGTAAAAAAGACAAAGCAGGAGTGAAAAAAAGAAACCAGCACAAATTAGCCTTCATGCTATCTTGTTCTATATCCCACACTAGGGAAATATTCAGACTCCAAGCTGTAGGAAGCTGGTCAGACTTGCTGTAGTATAAGGCCAATTATACATTCCGACTACATTCCTGATTGTCTACAATCTAGATGGACAGATTGCCCATCTAGCCAAACTACTGATCATTCAAGGCTGGACACAGATAGCAGAAGGACTTTTTTTAATCCATCTAGCTACCAGAAAAGCGAATGGAGAAGAATATATGGCATGAATGTTGGTTTTCTGTAGAATTGCATTTTAAATATATCACATAGCGAGCCTTTTGCATTGATGAGTAAATCTGTTACCACTACAGGGAAGCAAAACTCTTAATGTTGTCAAGAAGATTTTCATGGAGAACTTACCATAATAAATCAAATCAAACAAATCTTTCTTGGACTGGTTTTGATGTATATTGGAATTTACTGTTATAACTTATAATAACAACCCCCATGTCACTATCATTGTTTAACAAACATGCCATATTTTAGTGTTCACACCATTCATTCAAGTAACAGATTTCATTGCTGTAAATGCAGAAAGATCCTCTCTGGAAGTTTTCTAAAATGTTAAAAATGGTTTTTTAAGCTGTCAGAGAAAATTGTCTTCATTGTTAATAAATCTTTTCTAGAATACTGTGAGTGTTAATAAAATACAAATGAAAGGTAATGGCACTTTGCAACCTGCCTTACAACATCCAGAGTAACTCTGTTGCAGATGATTTAGGCATCCCATATAATAGATATGCCCACTAATGATCCTGGGATTTCCCGGGTGAATAAATTCTTAGCACTTTTCCCCCTATTATTCGATCTCAATAGTGTTCTCATGCCAAGCTCTGAAGTGTAATGGCCTACTTGTGTTGCATGTATAATAGGAACCATTGGTTGTAGGTAATCACCTGTTACACAGATTGCCAAGTATAACAGTGACTCCCTCAGATGTTTTGATATCTTTTAAAATACTTCCCTAAGATTACCCCATAGAAGGATGTCTACAAATGTTATGTGTCAATTCCTTCTAGTTGTGTTCCGTATATTTTCTTACAACAGTTAAGATACTAGGGTAAAGACAAGAGGGAATATTTGTGTCTGTATTATATAGAGCTCTCAATGTTGCAACAGGAGCAACAAACAGCCAGGTTGAGAGGGCCAGTGAACACAATGAAGCATATTACAGCCAAAGCAGTCTGTAATGTTCAGGCAAAGGCTCAAGGGAAAAAAAAAGCTTTCTTATTGGAAAGAGCTCAGTAACCAGATTTAGTTTCTGTTGGGACTTCATTTATTTGTCCCTGGGTAATCCTGATACACCAAAATTTTTGCCACTGAATGAAATTAATGGCCCAAGTGACAGGAAGGTACAATGTTCCAGAGCTGAACTTGTATTGAAGTGCCATCAGGACACTGATTAGGGACAAAGTGTTTATTCTAAGTTGAGAAGCTATAATTCAGAATCACACTTGCCAGTGTTGCAGAAGAAGAAACAGTTTTTTCTCAGCAGAGGACTGGAACAACTGCCACGCTTTTCAAATCTGTAAGTTAAAGGATAAAGACTGCAGTCTTGCTCTTTGAATATTGATTCTGTCCAATTAGAAGGATAGAAATGTTTTATGGAGATACTGTGTGTTCAAACATCTAGGAGAACCTAGACAATAGATTTTCATGGAAAACCCATGTAGCTTCTCCAGAGGAAGTTCCGTAGATGCTTTGGGGAGCATAAGGATCATCAGAGTCCAGGGCATAGGAGGTTGAATGTGTTGGACCTGTATAGGAAGGGGCAAGGAGTACATCCATCCCTTCAGAACTACAGTTGTTGCAACGACTCTATATCCATGAATTCCTGGTCTGGAGCCATAATGTAGACTTGGGCAGTAGTGTTCTTGCTTTCTGGAGACTCATAATACACATAATAAAGTTTAATGATCATGATTTAATGAACAAGGAGAACCTTGTTACAGTTATTTCTTCTTCTTCTCTTTTTGTTTCATTGTTTACCTTTCAGTAACTCTCTGTGTACTTTGTATACATCCTGTTTACATTTTTGTTTCATTAAACTGGGTAATTCTGTGGTTGAGGCCCTTTGGTTGCAAATATAAGATTAAACATAATACTATTAATTTAGGAAATTGAAACAAGAAGAACTAGATGACAGCAGTCTGTACATCAGAATGCACACCTTGAAAGGACAGCATGTACTCCTATTGTAGACATTACCCTATACTTATAATGCATTTATAGCAGTGGTTCTCAGCCTGTGTGTCCTCAGATGTTTTGGCCTTCAAATCATCTGGTAAACTGGCTGGGATTTCTGAGAGTTGTAGGCCAAAACACCAGGGGACCCACAAGTTGAGAACCACTGATTTATAGCATCTTTCTGCTTTGTGGAAAGTCTTTATAGTATTTTAATATGCACTATATGATTTCTTTTCTCCATGTGATAGAATTTTGCCAAATCTGTGGCTAGGCAGTTGCCCCCGTCAAGTGGAACATGTGACTGTGAAGCTAAAACACGAGTTGGGTATTACAGCTATCATGAACTTCCAGACAGAATGGGATGTTGTTCAGAATTCCTGGGGATGCAACCGCTACCCAGAACCAATGAGCCCAGAAGTTCTCATGAAGCTATATAAAGAAGAAGGCCTTGCTTATGTCTGGATGCCAACACCAGACATGAGTACTGAAGGTAACATCTGCATTCTTCCTCTAATAGAATACACAGGATAAGAATTAAAAATCCTTTCAGAAATATCGGTACCTTCTGTGAATGTCTAGGTTTTAACTTTTGTTATAGAAACTGTATACTTAGCATTTTCATAATGTCTGAATACACTTAATGTTCAGCATTCTCTACCTTCGTTATAAAGATGAACAATTTGATGATGACTGCAGAAGTAAGAAACCAAATATACCCAGTGGATTTTAATTTTTTTATTGCTGGAATTCAAAAGATATAGTAATTTATTTCAGGATATGGGATATCACCACATATTTAAATAATGGCACTAGCTGGACCAGCGTGCTGGAAGAAGCAAAGACCACCAGCATTGAAGCGATGGTCCTCCGCCATCAACTCCGCTGGACCGGCCATGTTGTCCGGATGCCCGACCACCGTCTCCCAAAGCAGTTGCTCTACTCCGAACTTAAGAACGGAAAACGGAATGTTGGTTGACAGGAAAAGAGATTTAAAGATGGGCTCAAAGCAAACCTTAAAAACTCTGGCATAGACACTGACAACTGGGAAGCCCTGGCCCTTGACCGCTCCAGCTGGAAGTCAGCTGTGACCAGCAGTGCTGCAGAATTTGAAGAGGCACGAATGGAGGGCAAAAGGGAGAAGCGTGCCAAGAGGAAGGCGCGTCAAGCCAACCCCGACCGAGACCGCCTTCCATCTGGAAACCAATGCCCTCACTGCGGAAGAAGATGCAGAGCAAGAATAGGGCTCCACAGCCACATATGGACCCACAAGAACACTGGAAGACAATCATCCTCGGAAAGCGAGGGATCGCCTAACTAACTAACTAGCTGGACAGCAGGATTGATCTCAGAGGTAATATACTTCCTCCTGTCTCTTTTTTCCCTTTGCCCCAGGAGCGGGATGTGCAAAAAAAAAAAAACTGTCAAAAGAATCAGAACTGATTAAGGTCTCTCAGTGTGACTTTAATGCATCCTACATTTGTTCTCTGGCACAAAGGTTCATGCCGCAATGGATGTGTTACACTGAAAAATACCATGTTTCCATGATACTTCTACATGTACAATAGACTAGCTGATTGCTCTTTGTGAATTCTGTTAAGAGCGAGGAGTCCCAAAAAAACTGTGGGACTGGAATTGCCTTCTTTCGCCGTGCAGCCACAGATTCTCTAAATTTGTGGTATGCATGCTTCCTGACTCTTCTTGTTCTTTCCTTCTCTACTACCCTTTGATTTAAGTACACTTGTGCTACAGTTTCTGCCCAGTCAGGTGGTTAAAACACTTTATTTACAAGTTACTCACCCAGATATTCATAGCAGGCGATAAATAATGAAAGAGGAAGTTTGACCACATGTTGCAGGCTTATATACAGAAACCATTATCTCTGTTCCATGCCTCCAGATATGACATGCCTTGACCGGAGTCCTTTCTATTCTGGCATGTCTGGGCACTTTCACCCAAGCATCATCTTAAACTGTCGATGACCTGGTGCTTCCAGTAATACATGCCTTGCGGATGATTTTCCTAATACACATAGCTCTACCATTTCATCAAAAAATCATATTGTATGAATGTTATATGATTAATTAAATTGCCAATTTGTTTTTAATGTTCAAGGGCAAAATAAACACAAAGGCAACACTAGTTTGCTATTGGTTTTCATGGCTGCATTATTTCATATTGGAGTTGTGGAATAGATAGATGTAATGTTTATTAAAATATTTGCGTCTTTCTTTTTGAAATCTAAACAACCCACTTCCAAAGGGCTTCCCTGCCCAGATGAAGAGTGGAAGCCTTACTCAAAAACAAATTTCCATTAAAAAAATGACCCTTCCCCCAAAAAGGGTGTCAGTTCTGTTTTGTAATATCTGTGCTGAACAGTCACATTGTTGTGCAGTGCATAAGATAGTTAATGCTATGAAGATGCACAGTCTTATTACTATGGCACCAAAATGAAGTAAACAGAAACAACTGTATGAAATTATTGTATAGGTCATGATTTTAATATGGTTTCAAATGTCTGGTTTTTGTCTAAAAGGCTTTGTTTCAGCACAGTTAAGGACCAGGGATGTAAGTAAAGTTAAGCATGCTGTATGGTCTAGTTATGAACAGGATCAAAATAAAAAGCTTATCTCTATAGATCTCTGGTGTGTCACAGTAAAAACATTAATCTCAAGGCTGCATCCTTCAGATATGTTGGAATGTAGTGCCATTAGGCAAACTAGCTGGGAAGATTGGGATTTGTATGAATTCTGTACAGGTGTTTAACCACATGTCACAAAGGTAAAGGGGCTTTTTATTTTTTTCTATTTAAAAAGCATACATATCTATGTATCTAACATTTTTACACAGTGTCTGCTCCCCTTTGTAGGGCTACGGTTTTAAAGTAAAATGCATTTTAAAGCTATCCCAGCATTTCTAACTTCTCTTTCTTGAAGAGGGTTTGCATGTGACAGTTGTGCTCTTTTTAATCCTAGGTAGAGTACAGATGTTGCCCCAGGCTGTTTGTCTTCTGCATGGACTGCTGGAGAATGGTCACACTGTCTATGTTCATTGCAATGCAGGTGTGGGCAGGTCTACAGCTGCCGTCTGTGGCTGGTTGAAATATGTGCTGGGATGGAACTTGAGGAAAGTGCAATATTTTGTGGCTTCCAGGAGAGCAGCAGTCTACATTGATGAAGAAGCTCTGATACGTGCCGAGGAGGATTTTTTTCAGAAATTTGGGCGTCTTCGTTCCTCATGCAAGCCTTAGTAAGAGGACATAAAGGGAACTTTTGCCAAACGCATTTGAGAAATGGGGCAGCTAGCTCCATGAAATACTGCTGTTGCCTGAAAAAATTGAAAAATAATGTGGTGCTGACAGGGATGACAATGATGATTATGCCATCTGAGTTTTACATTTTGATCCCACTGGAACAGCTAACCACAAGAGCTTAGAGTTGTCTGTATATGTGTGAAGCAGACAGGACTGATTGGATAGCTATTTTAGTCAAGGAGTGATCGCTTCAGTTAGGGGGTTGGCACATTAATTAGCTGTTTAGAAGAGGAAGCATAAGGAACTAAATCCAGCTCCCCTCTCTTTCACAATTAGCTAATCAATACTATAAGTAGATTTTCTTTTGTCTCGGAGGACTATAGGTATGCAGGGAGACCTGAGAGCTAAGTAAGGCTCAAAATTGCTTTTTATTTATTTATTATTTATGTGTTCGTTTGCTTCTTAAAAATGACACTCAGCATAGTTGGCTGAGATAAACTCATTTCAAAACAAATACAAATTAAAACATTGCAAACAGACTTAAAATACCGTGGAAAGCACATATAGAGAAATACTCAAGCAGTGAAAGGTTTTGATGGCAGTCCAGCTTTGCTGTCAAAGGCCTGTCAGAATAAAAGTTATTTGCTTATCAGTGGAATTACAGTGAAGAAAACCAGCCTCAACTCCCTTGACAGACACTTCAAAAACTTGAGTCCCCAAAAACTTGTGTCCCCATTTGACTGCCATGGTTCAGTGCTGTGGAATCATGTTGTTTTACAAGGCCTTTAGTTTTCTTTGCCAAAGAGTGATTATATATATCCCAGGATTCCATAGCATTGACCCGTGGTGCTGCATTAAGTCTGCAGTATAGATGCTCCCTATGTCTTCAAGCATAGGGTCCCAAATAGTTTTGGTTTTGGATATGCTGATCTTAGATTGTTTTGGTTTTATAGGTGATAACTAATACAGTAGACTCACAGTTAACTGGAACCAAGAACCCAGAACTCTCATACAACCAGCCCCCAAAGTCGAAAGAACACTACATTCACAAACCTGCTTTTATAAAACATTAAAACTATATTACATTAATTAAGTTTGTCATTATTTGTTTTAATTTGTTTTTAATTACTGTATTTGAAAATTAATATCAAGTCAATACAGAGTTTTGGGTATGGCATAGTATGGAGTATAGTATTAGGTAGGCCTATTTTTAATGGTAACTCCCAAGCAGGCCTTCTCGGTGGCTGCCCCTCAGCTCTGGAACTCCCTGCCCAGGGAAGCCAGAATAGCCCCCTCCCTGCTGTCCTTCCAGAGGCAGGCTAAAACCTTTAACTTTGAATATGCTTTGAATATGTTTTAATGGTTTTTAACTGTGTATTTTTAATACTGTTAATTCTGTTTAAATGTTTGCATACTTGTATATTTTAAATTGTGTGCTAATGTTATGTTAAACCACTTTGAGTCCCCTTCAGGAGAGATAAAGCAGGGTATGACAATAGTAATAATAATAATAATAATAATAATAATAATAATAATAATAATAATAACAACTTGGATTGATGATGTTGCAATCCCAGGTGGCAACAGGATTGAAGAGAAACAACTGGAAAAGCTGACATGATATGAGGATTGAAAGACAGAACTGCAAGGACTCTGGCACAAGCCAGTAAAGGTGGCCCAATGGTGATTGGCACACTGGGTGCAGTGTCTAAACACCTTGGCCTTCCCTTAAACACAATTGGCGTTGACAAAATTGCCGTCTGTCAGCTGCAAAAGGCCATCCTACTAGGATCTGCACGCTGATACTTCACACAGTCATGGACACAGCAGAGTGATCTTGTTTGCTGTGTACTAATCTTGTGTTTCAAATAAAAATAAATAATAAGCAATCCAACATCTAGCAATCTCCATGGGTGCTGGTTAATTGAGAGTTTACTGTACTTTAAATTTAATACAGAAATTGACTAATGACTAGCGTAAAAGCACATTAACACTTGGTTATGGTTCTCAAAGCTCAAAGGAAGAGGTTAAAGCCCAGTAAACATTAAAACCCAGTAAACGTTAACAGATTATATTGCCGAAAACTAGACATTCTAGATTGTTTGTTCCTTTAAAAAACTTCATCAGAGTAATTTACAAATAGAAAAAAATTAAGTGGAATTTACCAGGGGGAAAAAAAGAATATGTTAGCTTTCATTTATATATACCTTTCTTTTCTCTGACCACATGTAAATTGATTTGTATTTTGAATAAAAGATTTCAGAACTAACTTCTATTTTGTATATTTAAAATGATCTAGAAATTTAAAAGGATAATTCTGTTGTGTACACTTAATGTATTTAAAACAGTGATTTTTGTTAGATTATTGGATTACTGGGATTGGAATTTACTTGTTATATTGTTTCAGACAATCTCAAAAAGGAGCATATTTTGGGGTGCCATGCCTGGCTGTTAAGATAAATGATGCAGGAGCCCTTTGCTTATACAGAGTAAGCAGCACTCTGCCTCTTATAATGCACTTTATGTTCTTAGTGGAGATATTTTACATGGAAAACCAGTTTACATGATGTAGGGATTAAGTGAATAAAAACAATAATGAGCAGTGTCTCTTAAAGGTGGAATACATGGTATAGATGTGAAGCATTCAAGCTCAGGACAATTTTTAAAATATATTATTAGTCCAAAGCTGATATTTTCAATTATACTAGAGTCAAACTTTTACTTCAATTTCTCAAAATAACTAGAAATATTTTAGTTATCCTGAAAAATAAATTCTAATGCTACCAAAGTAACTTAGACATTATAGTTATAACACAAAAGGAGCAATGCTATCCCTATTTAAGAGATAATATAGATATACATTCTTATTAGGAAAATGAAGTATTGACAAGTAACTTGCTATTTGTAATTGCAGGTATGTTGTAACAGGTATCTTGTAACAAACTACCCTTTATGACTTATCCATGGTTTAATATGAATACTGTAACTTAACTCTTAACCATAAAAGGAAGCATCCCCTTCTCTGAGAAGAGAGACACAAGGCAAGAACTTCATCCCTGGAGATCTGACAAGAAATGTGATCCCCTTCTCTCCACTGTGGTGTGCTTCTGGCATTTTTGAACACCTTTTGGGGGAAATGGCAGTGGCCAAGGGCAACTACCCCCCGAGGAGGCATTGGTGCTTTTTAGGCCTGTGCGGTTTCGTTCGTTAATTCTGTTATTCGTTAAACATTCGTTATTTTTAGCATTTACGAATCGATATCAAAACACTTTTTCAAACACGGAAGGGTTTAAAAATATCGAAGCGGCATCCCCCATCCTTTTAACGAGCTTCCGCCCGTTTCGGAAATTGGATGGAGGATGCTGGTGCTTGGGAGCCAATCCGGCGCTCCCAAGCACCCAAGCAGTGCACCGTGGCTGATTTTGATTGGCCGGGAAGGCCTTTAAAAGCGTGGCCGCAGAGCTCATTTGCGCGGAGGCGAGGGAGGAGAGAGGTCCGGGACGGGAGGGCTGCTTGGCTTGCTTTGGGTTGGCTTAGTTGGTTGCGGACTTGCATTGTTGGAAAAGACTTCTTTGTTGGAAAAGACTCTTCTGTTGGTGTTGCTGTGTTAGCTGTTCATCAGGGCCATTTTTGGTTATTTTTCCATTTTTGAATATTTTCTAAAAATACCTGCCTTTTATTCTTAAAAAATACAAAAAATATTCTAAAAAAGAAAAGACTCTTTTGTTGGTGTGTGCTCTCATTTGCCCTGTCTCGTGGCTGTGTTTGGTCCACATCAGGGCCAGTTTTTGGTTAATTTTCCATTTCTGAATATTTTCTAAAAATACCTGCCTTTTATTCTTAAAAAATACAAAAAATATTCTAAAAAAGAAAAGACTCTTCTGTTGTTGTGTGCTCTCGTTTGTCCTGTCTCGTGGCTGTGTTTGGTCCACATCAGGGCCAGTTTTGGGTTAATTTTCCATTTTTGAATATTTTCTAAAAATACCTGTCTTTTATTCTTAAAAAAATACAAAATATTCGCTTTAACGAATCGATTCGTTATTATCTCAATATAGAATCGAATCGTATTTAATAACGATGCTTCGGAAGCCACTTTGCGCATGCGCGATCGCGTCCGCCATTTTAACGAATCGATTCGTTATATCCTTAACGAATCGACCCCGCGCCAATAACGAAGCTTCGGAAGTGATTTTGCGCATGCGCGGGGGTCTGCCATCTTTACAAAATGTTTTGTAAATATTTACGAAATTTCGTAAATACCGAAACTTTTTTTTGGGAAAGTTTTGTAATTATTTTAAATATCGAAACAAAAAAACACCCCAATTAAAAATCGATTTTAGAAACAAATTTTTTCTTGATCAACCAGGCCTAGTGCTTTTCCCTCTCCAAGAAATGACCACAGGTCATATCAAAATCCATGATTTAGACTCGAAAACCTCCACTTGACTTATACATGAGTATATACAGTAAATATACAGAATTAATGAAAGAGTAAAATGGGAGAAAAGGGGGATGGCAATGAAAGAATGTTTTAAAGGAAGTAATAATGACAGACAGGAGAGATAAAATGAAATGAAAGTGGATTTCTGTAGGTCTTTTAAATTGACTGTTGCATCTGTCAATATTAAGTCATTCTTGCAGGCCCATCAAATAGAATATGACAGGGAGGCTAAACCACAGTATTTTACTTTGGTGAAAATCAGTCTTCAGTTCACACCATTATCAAATCATTTCCTATCAAAATACAATTTATTTAAACTTTATGTATTTATTTTCAATTTTCAAAAAAAGTGAAATCTCATGCTTTTGGCTTGGGAAAGTCCCCTGTGGCTAGGCTTGTGAGGCACTAACCAAAGAATTTACTTTAGATTTCACTCAGTATTTTCTCATTCTGATTGAATGCTAACTGACCTATTTATCGTTAGCACTCAGGTATTTGGCACACAGCAATTTGCAATAAATTGTGTGACTTGTCTCTATTGAAAAGTTCTGACCCTGACTCAAAAAAGAAGAAAAAAGAATGTAGATCCTGGATGCAGCTCCAATAGGTAACAGATGTTGCCATAGGTGGATGCAGTGACCATTTTTTCAGCATAATTCAGGCAGTTCAAAGACAGTGACTGGCTAATTTTGAGTCCAGAATGAATCTGGTCATGGGAATCGCTCACAGTATTTTGCAAGTGTGGTTTCTGAGTTAGCAGAAATTCAAAGAAAGCAGTAGGATTCTATATACTGGATATCCTCAATGACTACGATCTGAAATTATGTTCATTTCTTATCTGATGTCTATTTTGCATCTGAAATGTATCATTGGAAGGTTGCAGTTATTCATAGATGAATCAGTGTCTAACCTGAGCCTCAGGCTGAGACCAATTTTGTCTCAAAAACTGAACACCTTTCTACGTGCCACTGTATAGCTTTCCATTTTAACTAGGGGATACTCTTATAGCCATAAATCCAACATGATGCTAGGAGTAGCATTGAGATTTTTATGTCTTCTCCCTGAAATCCTTTCTTGCAGTATAAATATGGTCTAGAGACTGTCTGAGACATCTGAAGCAGGCTTTAGAGGTATTTAAAGGTATTTGGGGTGGCCATGTGAAGGGAACTCTATACCTCCTGCTTGCATTTACAGAAGCTGCTTCTCTAATCTTATTGGCAGCACTTGATAATGGTCACAAAGCCCACATTCCTTTTCCATAAGCAGAGATTATTTGACTTCAGATTTAACAAGGCCGTTGAGCCTGACTTCCCAGCTGCTTTAAAGGACTAAAAAAGCTCCTAACTTCAGTGTGTGCAGTTAAATCCAATTTTAATGAATTCTAATCTAAAGTCTCTTTATGTGTAAAATAAATGTCAGTATCAACTTTGTTTTTACTAGGGCTGAGTGGATATCCCATGTTCTATTGTGGGTTTTTTTTAATATGAGTTAACTCTGTCCTGCATCACGTTCAGTCTCCTGAATTCCCCTCAAGAAATTCTGCAGTGGTTTTAAGAAAGCAGCTTGCTGTCAAATTTTTCTCCATTGCTAGAGCGTGTTTTGCCATTTACATAAGTCATATGTACACACAGTAATGCACATGAAAAAGATGATTATTTTTTCCAGCATGCATCCCAAAGCATTATCTCACTAAGATTTCTTTCAAAGAAGCCTCGTGTGCACATATTTTTCAATAAAGGAAGCACTAAGTGGCATGCTGCACACTCACAACCTGAAACAATCTCACAATATCTCCCTGGAACATAACTAAAATGGCCTTCCATGCTTCACTGTCTACAAATATAGTGGTGGGAAAGGGTAGCCGATTGCAGCTACTTTGGGAAGTGGTAGATCAGCAAGTCATGGCAGAGACATGAGTAAAAAATCCCTTTGGTTTCAAGGCTTAGATCAAATAGACTAGGAAGTGATAGTCTCCTGTTTGAAGATTAGAAACTATAAAAAAGAGGAGAGGATGTTGGTACTCTACATTGTGTCCAGGATAGTTCAGGTGGAAAAAGAGCATATTTCCCGCCCTCATTTACTTTTGCTCTTTACAGGAGAACTCCTTGATGTTGAGACACAGTTTTATATACTAGACAGCAGGATGAGCAGTCAAAAGGAGATCCCAAATCACGCTAGGTATCAAGTGAATTTCCCAGCATCCAGTGGTTGGAGATGATGAGTAGGCAATAGGAAGATCCAGACATCGTTGTTGTTGTTGTTGTTGTTGTTATATTTATACCCTGCTTTATCTCCCCAAAGGGGACTCAAAGCTGCTTGACATAAAAGCATTAGTATACAATTTAAAATATACACATATACAAACATTAAAACAGAATAAACACAAACAGCACTAAATAATTGCAGTTAAAATCCATCAAAACATATTCAAAGTTAAAAAGACATTTTCTCTCAGTGAACAATCTAGAATTGGTTCTAAGGTTGGAAATTTAAGTGATACATTCACATATATTTCGCAACTTCCCAAACAAGGGATTTTTAGAAATACAAGAGGATGGAGAAGACTGATAGATTCTCCCACCCATTTTTAGTTGAAATGCTGTTCTTTCCATATCGGCCATTCATCAACATATGAGGGAATAGTTGTGGCAATTCCAATTTAAGAGATTTGGGAAATCTTAAATTATTTGGACATTATAAAGAATTACTTGTTATTTATTTTCTTATAATAAAATATAACTTCATAGTGATTGTAATTCGCCCTCTTTGTAAGTTAGCTATAACTTTTAATGTTAATTCTATAGTTACATCAAACTGGTTTCATCCTTTTGCACATATTAAACTTTGGTAAGTTTTGCAGTTTTGATGATGTGGTGACATGTTGGAGTAACAGTGAGTCCAGGTTTCTTCGGGTCTGTGTGCAGGGGTTCATAATAAAATCAATGAAAATGTGTGTTTTGTTTTAATAAACTTCACTTGCAAGTATGGCTTCCCTCAATGGGGGAAAATGACAAGAACAAAAGGATCTATGGCCATTGTTCTGCAGCACTGACAAGTTTGTGACACTGAAGCTGGAAGAACTGCAAAAGTACACAGCTTGATGCTGGTCCATGACCAGGAAACGTCAATTAATACTACTACCTCTAGAGTGAATTACAGTAGGGATGCGTCAGGAGCTGGTTTTAATGAGCATTCTCTGTCACTAGCATGACAGCTTCACTGTGAATATATTTTATTTGTTCACTACCCATATAGTGCTTTTTAAAAACCTGCATACTTTCCTTTATTTTCCATTAAAATTCATGTGCATGTAAGGAAAGGGCTGAATACTGATTTAACTGTGCATTTGAACATCTCTATAGTTCTGATTTTGCAGTTTTGCCAAAGTGTGTTCTTAAATATTTGAAAGTGTAGTATTGTCACTTATAAATAAACATGCAATATTTATAGGGGTTTTTATATATTGCACAGTCAAAATCAGTGCAAGAATTCGTTGGTCTTATTACACTGTTGGATCTTAATGAGTGACAATTTGTCATAACTGAGCAATGAATAATAGTTTGAGGCTGATGACAAGTAATGAGAAAGAGTACTCCACAGAACTGCATATAATCTCTTCATTTCAATATGCTGGAGGCCTTCAAATGGTGTCATAAAGCTATGATTAGTTTATCAGAAGCCAGCTTCCAACAGATCCATGCTGTGTATATTTTCAAATCACAGATCTATTCACATCATGTTGATAGATGCTTCCACTATATATTTTGTGGAGTTCTCTTCCATTCATATTTGCCATCTGATCACCAACTTGACACGTGTGTGCTATTGGGTAGGCAAACACATACAAACTGAATATGATCCTCAAGAGGTTTCAGGAGTGGATTCGCCTGCGTGAATACCCTTTGATGCAACAAATTCTTCCAACATTTGCTTTCTAGAATTGTGTTTTGCTTCCATGTTTTGTGTAAATCCAAAAGTCATAGCTGGTAAACATCAAAATCAACATGAATCCAGCGACAGAGCAGAAGAACATAGCTGCTTGTACATGACTTGGAAGCTTTCTTAGCCTGCCCACCTTTTCTCAAGAGATGGACTGTGGTCTGAAGGGGAAAGGAGAGGTAAAAGAAAACTTGGCAACACAACTAAAGTAGGTGAGTGGAGTGCCCAGTCTTGGTTAATACAATTTATTGTGGTTTTTGGCAATTTCCTCTCATCCTCATAAAACGAATGTCACAGCTTGCCTTGTTCCACAGACTCCACTGACCCCCAGAAGAATCTGAGCAGGACCTCTCAAATCCAAACATGTGAGATCTGACCAACTTTTCAGAGATCCACACTGATCTTCTCATCCATCAAGATCCTCTAGAGCAGTAGATACCTTCTCAGTTGGGATTGTTTGGGTTTTGGTTCTCAAAATCTCCTCACAGGCCTAAATAAAGTACATCTCACCCTACCTAATCATTGTATTTTTGAATCACAATTTTCTCATAAGCTGTCATCACATTCAAAAAAGAGCTCCACAGAGCTGCTATTTAGAACTGAACTAGGCAGGGTGTTAAATTTGTGAACCAAATTACTATGTTTAGTGTATAGGGTTTAAATAGCAACCAATCTGGACCACAATGTGAGAGGAGGAGAGTTTAACCCTCCTCCTCATGATGTGTTGTGTTCTGGATGAACAGCCATGATGAACAGATTCATCACTTATCTTCCAACAGGAGGAAGCCAGAATTTAGCATTTTTTTCTTGCTGTGAGTTTTGAAAATACTGTATGCAGTTTCAAACTGAAGAGTTCACACATGATTGTTTTGCACAAAGCACTTCTTTCAGCAAATAACCTAGTATTTCTCTGCAGAATAATAGTATTTTCCACTCAGAAAAATCCTGTTTTCTGTGCAAAAGAAGCATGTGTAAATTTAGTGTGGAATAAGTCCTGAGCTGCAAAGATTCTTATGAGTCCCAGAATTCTTGATATTCAAGAAATATGTTTTTAAACCATTTTCTAATATATCTCCCATTCTTAATAGCCACTCCCCTCACCACACTTACCAATCACCAGAGGGAAAACTTTCCATGTTTTCAAATATCTGACAGGACTGCTTCATGTCCCACAAAATGTAACATCCCTGCAGTAAATCTATACTTACTTCAATGTATATTGTGAATTGGGTTCATGTTTGGATATTCAGACAAAACGACATATATTACCTGTTAACATGAAAAGTTTTCATTAAAATTGTGATTCAATATTACTATATGATAGTCTAGTAATTCTAATACTAATTCTAATATCAGTGCATTCTCCCTTTTTCTATAAAAATAGCTGCTTGCACTACAAATGACATCATTTACCCTTTGTACATTTTGCAAAAGCAAATTATAACCATGACCCCACCACAAACATTAAACAGTTTTAAATCTGACTACTTCCAAGTTGAATACAAGCAAATTTCTTACACTTCGGTCTTTTGGACTGTAAAGTGCTGGATGAAGTGTGGCTGGATTGCTTTCCAGATTTGGTGCAACCAGCCACATGTAAATATCATTTTTCAAATCAGCATAGAAGTAGGTTTGTGGAAAATTATTCCTAGTGTCTGTGCTGCCTTTAGTCAGTAATGTCTAAACTTGGCTAGGCTTAGAAATACAAATGATGAAGAGCATACTCCACCAGACTACCAATAACACTAAGTAATTTTCTCAAAATAACATTTCTCCACAGTCACATAATCACATAATAAGCCTGGACCTCATACTTACCTATTAAAAACCTAATTTGAAATATCTTCTACTGATTGGATCATTAGCCATTCCTGCACAAAAACTGTTTATGCCATTTCACTGAAAGGATGAGTACATTTCTGTAAGTGATGGGTTTGTTTAGCTTCACTTGAAAACTTAGTGCAAAAGATTTAATGGATTCAGAGGGTTGTAGAAGATAGAAAAAGCTCCGTAAATGGGAATTAACCCTTTAACATGATTTCAAAGTGAAAAAAATGAGGTAAAGTCAAAACAGGTCATCCATTCAAATGTGCCATGAAAAGGCTTAATTTTGCTGCTACAGCTACTGTTATTTTTACCTAAGCAACTCTGACATTTACCCAAGCCAACTATTTTCCCTCTGAAAAGAAGCCAAATGTGTTCAGTAGACTACTATTGTTCATTATTGATAATAGATTTGACATTCTTTCTGGATATGGGCCTGTTTTCCACATACTTGGCACTGGCAGTTGTATTGGACTATAGCAGTGGTTCTCAACCTTCTTAATGCTGCGGCCCCTTAATACAGTTCCTCATGTTGTGGTGATGCCCAACAATAGAATTATTTTCATTTCTACTTCATAACTAATTTTGCTACCGTTATGAATTGTAATGGTATGCAGGATGTATTTTCATTTACTGGACCAAATTTGGCACAAATACCTGATACACCATCTCTAATGGTATTCCGCAGGAAAGTGAAGACTTTGCTGTTTGAGCAGGCGTTCGAATAATTAGTGCAATGATTGGTTAATGAACATTGGAACGGAATAATGGATGACGAATCTGGATCATGTTTTTGATGATGAGACGATAGTGAATAGTGAATGGTTATTGTAGTAATTGTTTATTAATTATGTAATATGTTAGGTTGTTAACTGTTTTTACACTGTAGCATTGAATTTTTGGTGTTCTTATTTGTTGTGAACCGCCGTGAGTCGCTGAGAACAGCGGTATATAAGTAAAGTAAATAAATAAAATAAATAATAATAAATATACCCAAATTTGAATACTGATGGGGCTGGGGAGGGATTGATTTTGTCATTTGGGAGTTGTAGTTGCTGGGATTTATAGTTAACCTACAATCAAAGAGCATTTTGAACTCCACCAATGATGGAATTGAACCAAACTTGGCACACATAGCTCCCATGAACAACAGAAATGGTAGTATAGATGGGGCCACAGAAGCTATCAGCTTCCACTGAGCATATCTGCCTTGAGAGAATAAGACTTTTGATTTAGCAATCTCTTCATTGTCTGGGCTTTCCCTGACTGAACTGGAGACAGTTTGCATGCAATGGTTTCTAGTGGAACTGTATCGCCTCCCTTTTGTTGCATGTTAAATCTTCCAAACACTGTGCAGCAGTACTAATGCAATTCACAAGAAGAAGCAAGCCGAAGTTTTTGTTTCATCAAGGCTAAAGTGCTCATTCAAGTGCAGAAAAATTATGTGATAAACCTTCTGATTTGTGAAGGATAGATGCAGCATTACTAAAGCTTACAGCACCAAACTGAGGAAGGAAATTAAAACCCAGCTATACTGATTTAGGTGACACACTGAAAAAGTATAAGCATTCCCCAGTATATTCTTCTCAGGCCTGTAGCCATCTTATTTGCATTTACACTGTAAAACTGCACTCTTGCCATATGCTTCCATGCCACCGGACCTTCAGACTGCTAATAAAATAACTAGGAAATCCTAAGTAGAATCTAATTAAAGCAGAGCCCTTTTACATCCCATTAAATTAAGTTCACATTTAGTGCTATGACTGGCATCACGGGGGGTTTAAAAGTGCTCATTTGAGGATTTTACCTTCAGTATTTACACTGCTCTCTAATACATAGCAGGATGTCATATGGTTCAGAGCAGAAAAGTAAAACATTCAACTGAAATTTCCAAAGTACTTGCAGGCAGTGGGGTGGAGAGCTGTAGTTTTATTTTATTCTTTATTATTTTATACTGGTTAAAAGTGCTAACCAAAGACATTTTTAGCTAACCAAAGACATTGTTTTCTGCCTTACCCAGAATACAAATGAGCTTCACCTGTTGATAAACTCTACAAGCTAGCTGGCATTGCCCCCCCCCCCCCATGTGCGACGGGAAGTTGCTGCTAAATGTGAGAGAAATAAGGTTGAACATTGCAAAAGCCATCCACTACATGGCTACCAGCCTCCTCGCAGTAGACTCAAATCA